ACATTGGGTAAGGTGGGAGGAGTCAAAGCAGAACCTTGGGTAAGGTGGGAGGAGTCAAGGTAGAACCTCGGGTGAGGTGGGAGGAGTCAAAGCAGAACCTTGGGTAAGGTGGGAGGAGTTAAAGCAGGACATTGGGTAAGGTGGGAGGAGTCAAGGTAGAACCTTGGGTAAGGTGGGAGGAGTCAAAGCAGAACCTTGGGTAAGGTGGGAGGAGTTAAAGCAGGACATTGGGTAAGGTGGGAGGAGTCAAGGTAGAACCTTGGGTAAGGTGGGAGGAGTCAAGGTAGAACCTTGGGTAAGGTGGGAGGAGTTAAAGTACAGGCTCAAAAATGGTGTAAAGAGTCTAAAAGCAGAGGACTGGATTATTTGTGTTTAATGACAGTACACCCCCACCACTATCACAGCACTTTAACACTCAGCAGAAACTTCTGTTAAACCAGTCCAATACATCATGACACAGTGCAACATGATAACAAAAACACATGTAGACTTTTAGATCCTCATTAAGGTTAAAATCTTTTCCAGCCTCCAACTGTTTGTCCAAATGAAGTTTGTTGGACTAATTTCAGAAGCTTTCACATGTTGTTGTGCATTAAAGAAGTTACTCATTTTGTGATGAGTGATCAATACAGAAACCACAAAATAAATAAATAAGCAAACAAACAAACAAATCCAGTTACCTTAGCATCTAACTCCCAGGGTTTCAGAGACTGCCGCCGCGACTCAGTGATGGTGAGAGCTGTTGTATTTTCTGAGTTTGTTGGATCAGCCCTCTCTCATCTGTGCTGTTGTTCTCACTCCCTGATGTCATRGCACACTTTTTCACTGCAGCAAAGACACAACACACAGAAACACATGAGTGCACCAGTCAATTCCCAGAAATCAACCTGACTGAAATGTTGTGGTGGACCTTAAGCTAGTCGTACAACACCACAATAAACTGAAGCCATGATGGCGATAGGAGTAGGCCAATATTCCTACACAACCACAGGAGAGACGAATAAAAGTCCTGATTCAGAAAAACCTGCAACTGATAGAAGGTGCACTTTGTTTTTCTCAGTACTGAACAGAACCTAAAGATCATTCCTAGAAAAAATGCACKAGTGATCAGCTTGTTATCWTCRTGTGCTGAGAAATMATTAAAATTATAACCATTATATTCAAACCTTGAAAAAGACATTTGCAGGATCTGTTAAGAGTGAACCTCAGCAACCACATCAAATTTTAGCTCAATTTTAGCTCTGAATTGACTGATGAATAGTTAATAAGATACTTTGCTAATACAGCAGACAAACAAACTCACACTCACACGGGCAAAAACATTATGGACTTTTTGCTTTTAGTGGTAAGRGATACTAATGGACAGAATCAACCTGTTGGTTTATCAGAGCTCACCCTGTTTGGTGCTGTTCTGGAGGCTGAGCTGCCAGGCTTCATCTGTCAGCTCAGCCTCGTCTGACTGCAGGACAACACATTAACACACACACACACACACACAGACACACACACACACACACAGACACACACACACACACACAG